TAATGCCAGTTCTTTTCCATAGGAAAGAATGCACAGACCCCCAGTATTTCAGGGGCAGATGAGAAGTGACCGCCAGAGGCTAAGGCAGTCAGAGCTGGCAGCTTTTATATGGAATTTATGGAATTGCATTTATGTAATTTGTTAGGGGGAGTACCAATTTCAGCCATGGACACCTAGAGGAGAAGGACAATTCATTTCCAAAGGAAGCAAAGCATGGAGCTCCATTGTTGCAGGGGCAGATGAGAAGCAGCCCTCAGCATTGAATGTCAGTTGGACCTGTCAGGCAGCCCCCAAGAAGCCAAGCCAGCCAGATCTGTTCCAYGTTCCCTTCATTCCATGAGGCTCTGCAGGATCACAATGGCCCTTTGGTTCTATGGGGTCTCCCAGTGTCACAATATTCTCCATSATTCCATGGGCCCTTGCAATGTCACAATGATGTCCATAGATCCATGGTGCCCCTCAGGATCACAGTGGCCCTTTGCTTCCATGAGGCCCTGTAATGCAGCAATGGCCCCTTGGCTCCAAAAAGTCCTGCTGCTTCACACCAGCCCCTTGGGACCACGTGGCCCCACAGAGCCACAATAACCCCTTGGTCCCACAAGGCCCTGCAGTGTCACATGATCCCCTTGGTTTCAATGAGGCCCAACACTGTCACAATGTTCTCCTTCGTCCCACGAGGCCCTTTAGTGTCACAATGGTCTCCACAGGAAGGAAACCACCCAGCCCCAGTGTAGCAGGGGCACATGAGGGGCAGCCACAAGAGGCCAAGATTAGCCAGACCCATCTGTGTGCTGTCCTAAGGCAAATCCTCTGTGTGTGCCACACTAAGATCAGGACAATCCTCAAGAAATGCTTTATTAGATGGCAAAAATGGAACTTCTTTGGGTCTTCCACTACTTAGTAATGGCATAATTTTGAAACTTTAAAATTTCTGTGGGTGACCCCATTTTCCAGGTTAGGAAACAGTTTCCAGCACGCATTCCTTAAAAAAACACCCTCCAGAACCCTGTTAATCACACCTCGTCCTCCAGCCACAAATGCAACTGTTTGCCCAAAATCAAGGAACAGAAAGGTGAAGCAGCAACTCCAACCCAGCATTGTCCAACCAATTTTATTCTCTGCTTTCTAAGTCATACTTCATAGCAAATGTGGTGGCTCCAAGAACACAGAAATGTTCCTGAGGAACATCCCAGCCTGGTGCTGCAGCCTGAGAGCTGGAACTCAGGAGCCCCTGCAGCTGTGCTTTGAGCTGCAGCCCAGAGCACTGCGGGAATGCAGCTGGGGGTTGCGGGGCTCAGACAATGGCCCCGTGCATGGCACAGACCCAGCAGGGCAGGCACTGTTGGCACAGGGGCTGCAAGAATCCCAAACACAACCCCCGCACAGCTGTACACTCACTGGCCATTGCCACGGCCGCTCTGCGTGTCCATCTGTGCCTCGGCAGCGATTCCTGTGTGGCAGCAGCTGGAGCAGACAGGATGGGCCCCAGCAGGAGCTGATGGCAGCCGGGAACATGCCCGGCAGTGCCCCTTTGCTGAGGCTTTGGGGGACAGGAGCAGCCAAGGCAGGAGAAGGTGGGGAGGGGCGGCGCTGCTGCTGCTCCTGCCCGGGAGCCCCGGCCAGGCCGGCGCCCACTGCGGGGATAGCTCATGAATATGCAGTCTGTGTGTGTGATAAAAACTCTGTTCACCCAATGCTTGGGGCACTCGATTAGAGGAAGTGTCCCCTGAGTAACTAGTACTACAATAAAAAATGGCTGCTCTCTAATACTCAAACTRTGTTAGAAAGTTTTTGTCTGGTCGATTTCGGTACCAGTTCCRTGGGGCCCCACAGTGTCACAATGSCTGCCTAGTCCCATGAGGCTCTGCAGTGTCACCCTGGGGCAGGAAGCCAGCAGGGATTTGTTCCCCATCCACTGCAGCTCCCTGGGCCAGCTGGCACCAGCACCTTCTCCTAAGCCAGCGCTCCCAGGCAGAGCCAGGGCCATGCCATGCTGCAGCTCCCTGCAAACCACATCAATGGGTGCAGGACCAAACCCGAGTCACAGACAGCTTGCCACTCTTTGTGTCTATATTGACCAAGAAATGTCCCATTGTGGGGTGCCCCTTTCCCACAGTCACTGCAATGCTGGAACCATGCATGTGATCCAAAAATTATCTGAGCAAGACTCCGCAATTTATATAATTTTAAGTTGTGAAGTAGGTATGTTTATTGCAGCACTGGGTGAGCGGGAGGTACTCCTCAAAGCCGTCCACACCCCGGCACGGGTATTGCTTGGTATATATCAGGTTACATGTTACACATTCACTGAGTTTCGCAATTCGCCTATACATATTCATGACCTATCCCCGCTTTGTATTATAATGAGTTTAAAAGTCATTTCCATGTGGTCATGCCTGTGCAGTGTTATTTGGTAGTGGGCTCCAGGGGTCTCGGGAGGAAGTAAAATACTCATCCTCTTGTCTTGAACTTTTCACCTTTCTCTCTTGCGCATGCTCTCTGGGTGCCTGGCCCAAGTCCAAACAACTCTGGTTTTGACCAGAGCAGCGGTTCCACAAATACAGGCTGGGTCACAGTCCCTGCTTTTGTCAATAATCTTTTACTTCTCATTCTGCTTTGACAAACACAATCAATGTTGAGTAAGCAATTTACACTGTCTAGCAAGCAGTTTCTAACAAGTTACCCTGTAACTTCTAATGTCCCTACATCACGTGGAGCTCTGAGTGAGAGAAAGGGACAGCGCTGCCCCTCTGCACTGACTGGGGCATAGTGGGAAATGCTCCGTAGGGTGACTGGAACCATAGAAAAAGGACAATTGGCAGCACAGAGGGAAACACTTCAGGGCAGCTGGACGGGGGCAAGACATCCCTGCCTGGATAGAGAAGGTGGCTGTGAAAATCCCTCCTGTGGATGTTCACAGGCCCTAGGGTCGGGCACTGAAGGGCATTGCAACAACGGACAGAGGGATGGGGCTGCCAGGGTTAAAGTGTCTCAGGTGGGTCTGCACTGGCCCCACAAGGATGAGTCATTTCTGGCTCAGTGGGCCCAGGACACCTCAGGTCACCAGGGAAGAGATGCAGCCTCCAGATGGGCTGGTGAGTAAGGTGTAGATTTACCCATGGAAGCCATCTCCCGGTTATCCATGGCTGTGGAATGTGTGCTGAGATCAAGCAGGG